ACTTTATTAGTACCAAGAAACACAAGAAGCAAAGACGACAAAACAAACGATTTAGGACAATTAAATCTACAGGGTATTTCGAATAAAGGGTAAATACAAATTATTACAAAAATTTATTTTTTCTTGAGATATTTTTTTTTAAAACTCTTATAAAAATTGTCACCCCTGATTTAATGACTTACTTTTCTGTCTTTACTGAGACTTAAGTAATGCCATGAGATAACATCCAACATCACCTTATTTTACACAAATATACTTAGTCATTTCTCTAAATAATATTTCTTTATTTCTTTGGTTCAGTAAATTCGGTAAAACAATTTCATTCAAAAATATTTATATCAAGTAATTTTTCATGATAAATCCAAAAAACTAAGTTGTTTATTTCAAATAATTCTAATTAAGTGGTTATATTGTTTATAACAGAAACCATTTAGGGGGTATTAATAAAAAATCCACGTATATTAATAAAAATATAGTAATTAAAAAATAAATAATGTTACGGATTCCGTGGGTCCACTATTTAAACTCACGACAAAATACTTAACGAATTTATTTGTTTCACTCTGTACACACAACTTATACTATTTACAACACAACTTATGCAACTACTATTACTCTAACGGTATTTCGCGGTATTTTCAAACTTCAGACTTCAGACTATCTTCAGACTTTAGACTTCAAACTTCAAACTTGTCGGCCCATTAGAAATTAAACTTTAAAATACATCAAAATTTTACGGTGCCCGTTTTTCGTGAGTGTAGTTATCATGAACGATTGTCATTTCACAGATCACTATGACATCATTTTTTTTTTTTCGATACTACAATATTTGGTGGAAAAAACGATCTATATGTCGGTGAATGTAACGACCCAAAAATAAAATATCTCTTAGTTCCGAACAATCTCGTGGTCTCATAAAATTTCTCAGCGCGTAAATCTAGCTTAATATACCATCGGCGAAGCGTCGAAAGCCTTGTAATAAGTAGCTACCAGCTATCCCGCCGAGAGCGTAACTACCACATTGTAACTTTCTACACGATCTCTGGGCCAGATCCGACAATAAATAAGGCCGTATTTCATCGGGACTGTTGGCTAGATTACACGCGAGTCTATTTTACCTATTTCCTGCGTGATCTATAGAGCAGGAAATTAATTTATAACCAGTTTTTAAAAAGCGTAAAATATTTATTAAACCCCTTTATAGGTACATATATTTTGCTAAAAAAATCTTTATCATACCTACTATTCCGGGTGAGTCTTAAAAAAGTGCAAATATTTTTAGGGGTGGTATATTTCGACCCCAGGAACATGATGAGTTTTTTTATCCCGAATTTTTTTTTAAATTTGAAATTTTTTCAAATGTTTTTTAGAAATTTAGAAAAAAAAACATAATTACTTGGTAATATGGCAACATTGGTAGTAGATTAAATTTACAAGAAAGAAATCCCAGAATAGATCCAGTGGTTCTCAAAATTTAAGTAAAAAAATATTTTTTTGGAAATTTTCAAATTAAAATAACTAGATTATTTTGGACTTATTTGAAAAACACTTCCTGTTTCACCGGAAATAACTACAACTTCTGATTTTTAAATGGCACCATTGGTATATTTTTACTTTATTCAATAGAAAACGACTCTATGAATAGAATGTCAACTTTTGACTTTTTCGCTTAAAAAATCGTTTTTAAATTTCTAATTAAAAACACTAATTTTTAGTCAAGGAGCCTTGAAAAGATAGATTTGATCGTCTAATGTTCCTGAGCAACTCTTATCTAAGAAGGAGCTAGTCTTAAGAAACCAGGAACTAGTTCCTTTTGTTCTGGGGTCAGAATAGTTCATTGGAACTACACACATCTGCAAACATCTTCTAGTAAGAGCAAAATAATTTTTTCATTATTTTGAAAAACAGAAAATATAGGAACTTCGATATTCTAGAGATTATTCTTTCTAAAAATTGTTCTTTCTGAGTCCTAGTAATTTTCTATACAAATAAATTTCAATCAAAAAGAAATTTATTTTCTTGGCAAATATTGCCAACTTTTTCTTATATTTCCTTGCAAAATCAAGTTGATCGAAATTAGATTAACGGTAATGACAGGTGCATCCTCTCCGCATTTCCTTCCTTTTGAAGTCGGAATAGAAGAACTGCAGGGAAGCACCCACGAAACAAAAATCGACCGCCGCAAAGGCCTATAAAAGCCCAAGGCTGCTACCCGTGATTCTGAGATGACAAAATATAGGTATGTAAATGTAAATAATGTTTATATATTTGTGATTTTCATTTCTTAAAAAGAATTCTCGATTTTTCATCACTAGTAGAAAATATACAAAATAAAAAGTTATTTTTTTGAAAATACTACGTCCGTTTTTCCAAAAAATAATAACTGAAGAAAATCAAAAAAAGTTAATTTTCAAGATTCTTTTATTATTGACCATAAAAAAAGTATGTAACGTATTTCTTTTAAATAAAGAAATATAATAACATTCTATTTAAAAAATATATAGATTTATTCCTATTGTTTATAATTGAGATAATTTAATTATTTACAACTGTTGTTTATAACAAATTTTCCGCTATCTATAATTTTCAGGTGACTTGGCATTTTTAAGCTGTTGAAAAAAACATAATATGTAATTAAAGTTGTTATTTATAATTTAATAATGACAGAAAATTGTACTAATTTACAATTTAGTTGTATACATTAGAATTCATTTTTTCAATACAGGATATATTGATTTGCAAAGTACACGTACTTAATAATGTTTTTCCATATTCTCATTGTTTACAATTAATTATATTACACATATTAAAATTAATCTGAATATTTCTTTCGTATTATCAATACGATGATACATTGGCACAAAATACAAATTTTTAGAAGTATATCATAAAATAAAAATTATATTTCTCAAAAAAGATGCATACATTTTAAAATTTCCTAATTAGTGTTTATTTCCTTTATTTCAGGGGTGTTAGCCTTTAAATTCGAGTAGTCTTTGTATTACTCCAGTGCCCGGAGGATTCCTGGCTCCGATGACGTGTTTCGGTCCAATAGCGAGCCGGCGTCGGCACCCCGCCGACGTTGCCAAGTCATTTCTAATATAAATCAGAACATTACAAGGTAAATATGAATTTTTATTATTTACTACTGAAAAAAGAATATCTACTAATTTCTTTTCATACAAAATTCCTAAAAGTACTTGAAAAATATTGAAAAACAACTAAAGCTTTTGAAAAGTAAAATTAAACACTTTTTTTTTGAAAAAGTGCTTAATATTAGAAAATGTGTACCTAGTTACTCTAATTTCTTAAGATAAAACAGATAAGAGATTTAATACTAGGACCTGAAAAGTTTATAATACTTCCACCAGGTACAGACTTCTAATTATTAATTAGCTTGTGTTATATTAATAATGTTAGTATTTCCCTTAAGGGTAATTATTGGGAAAACTGAAAATCGTCTGGTTTTTCACCAAAATTGGTATACACCCTATTTTGAGGTTGTAGATTACGAATCTTAACGATCTTTTTTCCTGGCGGTCTCTTACCGTTTTTCAGAAAAACGGAAAATAATTTCAACACTGAATTTTTCTTTATTTCAGCCCTACAAAGTAATAATTTCACTATATTTTCATTATATTATAGTTTATCTAAAAGCCACACTTGATTGAGAATAGAAAAATGTCCAAAATTTTACTGAAAAACACTTTTCTTAACAAAATAACAAAGAAAATTGACACCAGATGGAAGTTTGACATTTCATTTATCCTTCTTTCTCTCTCCTATGTAATGAGAGAGACAAATATATTCTAGCAAAGTTCTAGAGCTGATCAGGAAATTTGAAAATTTGCAACGTTGCCATATCTTGTATTTTTTCGGGTGATTAGGGATTTTAAATAGATTACCTATTATGAGATCTAACAATAGTTAAATATACCATATATCCACAAAGTTACGCGAGAGTTTTGATTGCATTGGTTTCAACTTCTATGTGAAGGGGGTTCATCTTTTTTTGCTATATTGCTATGTTAAAAAAAGATTAACCCCCCCCCCCCCGCAAAGAAGTTATATAAAGACTATTTATAACCACGAAGTTGCACGAAAGAGTTTTGATTGCATTGGTTATAACTTCTCTGCGGAGGGTGTTAATCTTTTTTTGTTATATTATACCAAAAAAAGATTAACCCCCTCCGCAAAGAAGTTAAAACCAATGCAATCAAAACTCTTTCGTGCAACTTCGTGGTTATAGTCAGATCTCGTTGGTAAAATAGCAGTTATGGGAAGGAGCCGTTCCTCTGGTAACCGCCTTTCGTAATCCCAGAATGAGCGAAAAAAACACGCTAAATTTAGTTTTAGCATTGGCAACGTTGCTTTAAATGCCAGCACATAACCCAACATTTTCAGATTGTTTACAAATTTATTTTAGCAAATTTTCCTCTATTAAGCATAGAATTGGTTAAAAAAGTAACAGAAAATAGCAAAAACCTCATTGTTTATTGAATACCTAACAAAATATGTGCTAGAAAACTTTAAAAATATGAGAAATTAAGAAAAATACGATGTTGAAATAATTTTTCGTTTTTCTGAAAAACGGTAAGAGACCGCCAGAAAAAAAGTTCAGATTCGTAATCTAGGACCTCAAAATAGGGTGTATACCAATTCTTGTGAAAATCGGACGATTTCCAGTTTTCCCAATAATTACCAAATTAACAAAACTGATAATGGCTTCTTAAATCCAAAACGTCAGATTATAACAAATTATAGAAAATTGCTGTTTTGTAGATGATAGACATCTACTCTTTGATGCTTCTCGGCTGGACCTCGCCATCTATCCTTGCACTTCAATTTATATTCAATTAATATTCTAATCTTTTGGCCAAAAATAAACATTATTAATATTCCCGAACTATACTGATAAAAACAACCACCCGGCAACACCGCCACTCCTCCATGGCGGTGCGCGTCCGCGGCCTTCTTCGCGCCGCCACAACACTCCGTACGTTTACGCCGTTGCCCTTCGACCGGATCAATTCCGCAGACGTAGCCCGTTAAGTAATTGCGAGCGCAAAAGTGCTTAGCGTGCTGTGGCCCAGTCGACAGTCGGCGTTGCTTACCGGTGAACCAGTCAAATTACCTCAGTGCGTCTTGACAGTGTGTTTTTGTTGTTTCGAAGTGTTTTAGTATCGTCGGAATAAATCGAATTGTTTTTTTGGTGCCACGACATTGGATATTTAATAGGGGTTGAGATAAAAAAAGCTGTCTGTTCGTGAAGAGAAGCAGGTAGGTTAATTTAAAAGGACTGGACTGGTGTTTACCCGCCAAAACCGTCGTTAGGTTGGGAGAGATATAAACGTACAATAAATAAATATTTGTGTTGTTTATGTACCTACTTCTTTTTTTTATGGATAGTTAATATTTTCATAAATTTATTTAAGAGACATTTCATTTAAAAAAGTTTTACATATTATTTTTTTCATCCAATTTTAAACCAGAAATATGGCAATTATTGTAAATGTTTTACTTCCAATTATTATTTAAAACTTTTAATAATACATTTTTTGTTTCATTTTATTCTTACTACTTTTTTGAATCTTGATTCCCCCATTTTTTCTTTAGTTAAAATTAGTTTTTATATTTAATCATTCAGTACCTTCATCATAAAATCCTGAAATATCTAATATTCCTTTAGAAATACTTATTTAGATTGTTTATGTAGGTACTTCATTTTTGTGTCGGACTTTTTTTATTTTGTTTTTGGTAGGTATAAGCATATTTTACATATAATTTTGTTTTTCCGTGATTCAAAATTTGTTTTTATCACAGGTTTTCATTATCATCCATATTTTAAAAAAAACATGGATGGTTAATAATTATTGTAATGTTTTAATTTCGTTTTTTAGATTTGTAGTTACGTTTAATAATATTATTTGTTATTTCATTTTAATTTTTCTACTTTTATGTATCTCTCTATATTCTATTTTTTCTTTAGTTTTTTTCTCGGTTTTTCTATTTAGTATCTTTATCATAAAATGCTGAAATATCCAACATTTCTTTAGAAATACGTACAGTAAGTAAATATTTGGATTGTGTGTATGTGCAAAGTCTATTATTTTTTATATTTCTAGAATCAAACAATTTTTTTTCAGTCCTTTTTATGTCAATAACCTATTAAACCTGCTATTCGATGTTGAAATCTACTTTGAAATAAAAAATAATAAATTATGATCATTTTTAGTTCAGCTTTGACAGATCATTTCTTTTGGCAGACATGTTTACGAAAACACTGTTTTCATTTTATTTATTATTTCCAAAGTTTTTGTTTTATAACCATATCATAAAATTTGTCTCGAACTTTGGTCTGGAATGTCTTATTGAATAAAATTTTTTGTTCATTTAGAAAAAATGTACAAAAGTAAATAAACAATAAATTTTGTCTACCCTTATTTTTTCCTACGTCTTCAGATCGTTCAGTAAAACAACCCAAATTTTTTTGTCAATAATATTCATTTTTCAAGAATTTTTCAGCGTATTTGTAAACATTTTTTTTAAGAATTCTTGCTAACAAAATAAACACAGACGCCATATTTCTTCCAGCTGTGAGGGTAGGTGCCATAAAATAATCATTTTACGACACCAAAAATATTTATGCCAATAGGTACTTTCCGGCACTTAGTACTTAGAAATTATGTCATTACGATGTGGTACCAACACAATAAAAATTGGTTAGCACTTAAGTGTGAACCGGAGGTCATAATCTAAATGTCAAACAGCATTGAACGCTGTTGTACAGGTCAATGTAACTGTTAAAGAGCTGTAATAAAACTATTTTATATTCGTCACAGTTTTGAATGTCACGGTTTTGTGAAGAGAGAAAATATTCTAAAAAAAATCAAGGTTATTGCTATATATAGTATTTTTGTTATTTTTAATATTTTTATATGCGCGTAAAAAATATTATTGCATCATATATCGAATACGTATCACCAGCACAAAGAAAAAAACGTTAAATTTTAAACAAATTTGCACAAATTCCATTTAATAATAAGATAAACTGCTTTTAATTGACCTGTTACTCACACTAGCGATAAATATTAAGATTATTATAAACAAATTCCATATTTGGAGTATTTTCCGCTAATGGATGTTTTTCGAAGTCTTTATGATGTAAAGCATGAAAAATATAAACAAATTGTAATGAGGCAAAAATTAAATATTGATATTAACGAATTCCAGATATCAGTTTACTGTTTTTTTAGTCTAGTCTTTTGACGATTGATTAAAAGTAATAATATAAACTATATTAGCGTGTACCCGCGACTTCATTCGCGTCGAATTGATAATTAATCATTTTTTCCATTAACATACAAACTGGATAAAATTTTCTCACATTTATGTCAGCATGAGAAAAAACAATATGGCGATATTATTATATAACTTGGTAATATTTGAGGGCTAGTTTCATCTCGTTGGAATTTGACTTTCGAAAAATCCGTTTGCCAAAAATAAGCTTTTTACGTCAAGCAGTTTAAGTAGAATCATGGTTAATCAATTACCCAACTTTTTGGAACACACTGTATGATTTTTTAAAAAATTTCAAAATATGTAAAAATACAAAATAAATTATGCGGGTCCAACCGTTTGCCCGAAAGACTAACCGTTTTTTAAATAACAAATATTGTAATATTTGAGGGGCGTTTTCACCCTCTTGGAATTTGAGATTTGAGAAACCCCTCCTTATCGAACCTCTACACCCCACAGTCAATCCGTTTGCCAAAAATCAGCTTTAAACGTCAAGCAGTTTAGGCAGAATCGTGATTATTCAATGGTCATATTTTATGAAACACCCTGTATAATCTTTTTAAAAATCTTAAAATATACGAGTTTAGAGTTTTTCCCAAAAACTCACCGGGTTTTAAATAAAAAATATTCTAATATTTGAGGGGTGGTTTCACCCCCTTAGAATTCGAGTTTCGAAAAATCCCTTCTTATCGAACCTCTACACCTTAGAATCAACCTGTATACCAAAATTGAGCTTCTTACGTTGAGTGGTTTGAGCAGGATCGTGATTAATCAGTATGTCAGTCACTTAAGGATTTTATATATTAGTATAGATGATTTAAAAAATACATTCTCGGTAATGAGTTAGTGTTACACTAGTTTTTAATCCGTCTTACCTGACACGTAAAACGTATACGTATAGACAGGGCTTTAGAGTTTATTTTTTATAGATTATAAACGTGTCAATCAATGAAAAATTCAATCAATATTGTCTTTATTTAATATTTGCTATGAGAAATCATATAAACGTGTCTTACGTTAAAAAAAAAATCTTATTAACGATTTTTATTAATCTTTATGAACAGTTTTTTTTTATTTGATTTGCCCCTTTTCTAACTAGAGTAACCTTAGATACATATACTTTTTTAATTAAATCATTAGATTTATTTCTACGCTGTATTTGTTCTATGTGGTAATTCTCGAAATTCCTTTTGAAATTGTAGAAATAAAACAAGTTCTACCAATAAGGTAAACATAAATTACAGATATAAAAATATATCGGAAAGATCTCATTTAAAAAAATAATTATTTATTTATCTCAATGGGTGTGTCTTATATACTTGATTTAATATTATTTCAAATAAAATTATATGTATCTACTGCTTAAAGTTAGTTTGTTTAAAAAATCTAATTAATTATTTTTTATAAGTTTTAAGATATTTTATAAAAATATGTATGAAATCATACTTTAAAAAGGTTAATTATTTTGTCGATTTAAAAATAACAATGTAATTTAAAAACCATCTGACATGCTTGACATTTGAACCTATTAAAAGGAAGGATTTATTTTTATATTAAGGTGGCCTAGTTGGCTATAAATTGCAGGTATGTATTGTAGTAGTTCCTGTATTAGTTTTACGCTATAAGAGTTTTAAATTTTTAGTAAATTGTATACAGTATATAAAAAAATATATTATAGACAGTTTTTTTAAATTTTAAGTTTCCTTTACCAAGAGACCGTTTTTACATAAAATACCATATATTTTTTTCACTCATTAATTTTATACAAGTATGGACGAAAAATTATTATACTTTAAAACAGTTAAAAATATGTAGGTGGTGCCTCCTATAAGTAGGAGTCATATTGACATCGAAATATAATTTTTCATGTGAAAAAACACCCAAATAACAATTTTGATCCAAATATCGACTATAGTTCAGAAATTATTTGAAAAAAAAAAGAAATAAAAATGAAATTGCTATACCCATCTCCGAAACGAAGCATTTTAGGACAAAAACTTTTTTACTTATTTTCGTCTACAGAATATGCTGCCGAAGTTTCCCGAATACAATTCGAACCACCCTGTATATAACTGGCAATTATTACAATTAGTTTCCAATATCCATTTTCCATTTTAGTATAGTTTCTTTCGTCAATTTAGTCAACTTTTAATGTTTTCATTTAGCTCTTTAATTTTCTGAATGTTCTTTGTTGTATTCTTGTTGTTTTTACATCCTTTTACTAGAGAAAAATAAACGGCCCATAGTTCCGTTGTTGTACCGTAAAAGCGCCATAAAACAAACCAGTATATTCACACCTGGGTACGAAAAAATCTCGCTTGCGGTACCAAACACAATGCAACATTGTAAAACACCAGGTCTAGTTTTGCGGATGTGTAAAATTAACAGGTTCGGTACCCATAGAAATTCTCGGTAAGCTATAACAATATTTCTTTTGGACTTTTCAAGACAAAAAAAACACATTAAAGGTATTTCACCACAAAGAATCTTGGTTAGGAAAATCTATACGTAAGATTTTATGTAAGAACTAGTAGTAAGTTTTTTCCCGTGAGTTCGTCCGCATAAAATTCGAATTTTGTTAATATAAAGTGTGATATTTATTATAGCACCTAGTGTCAATATTTGAAAGTACCTATTACATGTTTCTAGTTGTAATTGATAGTCTATGAATATACAGGGTTGTTCACCACATACGACACGGAGTATTGTAGCTAAACGATTAGATTTTTACAAATTGTAAGTTTTGGGTTCGTTGAAGGACTATTGGAGCTACAATTTAAAAATAATTTTACAAGATACAGAGTGTCCCAAATAAGTAAAAAATATTATAGTTGTATTTTTTTAAATAGAACACCCTGTATATTATTCTATTTTTGGATTCTACGATTGAAATAAAGGTAAATTTGATTAAGGTTTATTATACTTAAACCTTACCGTTTTTGAAATATTTTCAATTTTATGAAATTGCAGTAAAAAAATTA